ACACTGTAAATGGTTTTCCATACACTGTAAATGGTTTTCCATACAATGTAAATGGTTTTCCATACACTGTAAATGCGTTGCCAAAGCGTGTAGTCGAGAGTTGACCGCTGTCAATGAACGGTAAAATGTGAAATTGAAGCCCTGGTTACAATAGTACTAGAGCCACTGTTACGGTAAACCAAACACAGGTGACAAATTGTTGCGAAGTATGCAAAATGGTTCACCAAAAACATATACAGTACATAAAAGACAATAACTGTGAAAGTTGTCAGACTTACCAAGTCCGGTGTACTGTCCATCTGAGTGTCCTGGCTAGCCACAATCAGGATGTTATAAGCTTTAGTGATCACCTCCTTACTGAGGTACTGGAGAGTCTCCAAACACGGCCCCTCGGCTTTAACCCCACCACTGGGGTCAGAGTCTAAGTGCCTTGTTTCTGACATGTTTCTAAGCTCGCCTAGAAGTACTTCTAGAGCAAATATCCTGGAAAAAGGAGTACGTTAGGATAAAGCAGGTACTCCCACAAAACATTAGCTCGTTACGGAATATATCACTTTGCTAATTATTTTGAAAATGCTTTGCAAAACCTAAACTGCTTATGTGTGCAGCAACTATATGTTCTGGTAGTAACGTCTTGGGAGACCAAACGAAGGGTTTGATTTGTAACGTCTTGGGAGACCAAACGAAAGGTTTGATTTGCAAAGGTCTGCAGCAAAAGCTCTGCAAAAACAACAATTTCCAAACACTATAAAAAAGCAAATGTCTGTAAATGGAATTGCAAAGGTCTGAAAATGGTATTGCGAAGAATCTACAAGGGGTTTGGGAAAGGATCCTTTAATAACGTACAAAAGGTCGGAGATGCTGATGAATGTGTGCTTCATTTTACAACATATAACTTTAAAGGTTTTTGTCGTTGTTTCTTTTGATTCTGCTATGGATTTTTAAACTCGAGTTGTAATGTTTGCGAGCCTTCTGCTAGAAATTGTCTATTTGTAGTTTGTTTGCAGTGAATGTAGCGTAAAGTACACAAGTGTACACATAGAGGTGACGAATGCACATATTCTGAATATCTTTAGCAAATAGATTGCAAACAGATTTTTGCTTCATGTGGGCATGACAGGATGAAAAGCGCGCATCTAAAACGGTAAAAGGTCTCCTACAATGTTGTATAAATATGCCTTCCTATTCAGAGAAAGTTGTTGTACACTGCCTTGAATATATTGTAAGATACACAATGAATGTAGCAATGAGCATTCTTAAACATTTGACATATAATATAGCGAAAAATACTTCATTTTTTTAACATTCATTTCAAACTTATCGTTTTCAAGTAATTAACACCGGAATGCAATTAATATGACGATTTAACATCGCCGTCTACTTGCCTTTGTTTTTCTGACTGCTGTTGATCAATAACCTCCAGAACCCCCTTTATCCTCATGGCATCCTCCACCACGTATATCCTTTCGGGTTAGAATCAAAAGCGACACATTAAACATAATGTTACATTGTTTTATTCAACTCATGTTTCTTTGCCCTTTCTCTAACAGGTTTTGTTAAAATCAACTGTTTCATCCACGTCAGATGGTGCTATGATAACCTGAGAGCTGGCTTTGTAGACACCTAATGTTGTCGGTGGTACTGAAATAGTTACTTCACTAATTGCTAAGGACACAGTTATTGTTAATCATGTGGGAAAAAGATGATAGAATATTTTGCAGGGTAGTCAGACTTGATTTTAATTTTATTAAGTTAGTTAAAATACTTTTTTTGTTTATTTCGTGGAAAATGATTGAAATGCTAATATTAGTTCCTGACAAATGTTTTGGTTTCATTACAAGAATGTGCACTTAGCAGCTATGAATTTTTGTATACATTTTAGTTGTCAAACGTGAATGTTCTGTACAGTAAAACATCAATAAAAACAAAACAATCTGGATCCAAAAAAGCAATATTACAGCTACAAAACCTGACAATTATGCCACAACAGTGTTCTGGTCATCTTAAGCTTGTGATCACAGCAACAGTATTTGGTGTCCCAAGCATTTCTTCTAGGTAACAAATAAATGAACTGGCATGTTTTCCAAATAAAAATATCAATAATCATTTCCTTATAAAATTCTGAAAATAAAAGGAAGCCAAACACTATATTTTTCTAAGAACATATAAATCACTTCTCCTAAGACATAAATAATACTTAATATCATTTTCATACAGTATAAACAATGATCTACGAACCCCCACTCCAAGTCTGTATCAGTCACAGCGCTGAGGATGTCACACACAATCTGTAGGAAATCCTGGTCAGTCCCGAGCCGTGATGACCAATCGTTATCTTGCCCTCCCCCCTGAATACAGCTGTGAATAGCCATGCATACATACTGGGTCAGCTTTTCATCCTCTACACACAGCAGACATCTGTAAGAGAGAAAGTGTCATCTTCACCATTGTTCTAGGAGTTGTTTCTCCTGTAAATCTGGAGTGTTGTACCTAGAGATGATTTACCCATTGACAATTATTATCTATTTAGTGGTTGTTTTACGTGCCTAACGAAATTACAAAATTTTGATCGATCAGAAAGGGAGTGGAAATAATATGCGTTTCATTTGTGACATTACATTGTCATGCATTTTATTGAACAGTGAACAGTCACAAACGTTATAAGGTTTTCCTTGAAGTTGTAATTATGTCTCAATCAACAACGTGTTTTTTTCCTGAATTACGTACAATGAAGATCATTATATGGCTGATGTATACATCTCCTTTGGGTCACTCACCTAAAGCTTTTTGAAAACTGTCTCCAAACTAGCTTGCTGTTTTCCGTATGTCCGGCCACCACATTTCCTAGGAACTGTACACAGCACCTGAGCAATATCACTTTGTCTTCAGCCAACATCGGGTGGGACCGCATTTGTTCGGGTGAACATCGAGCAAAGGGTTTTAATGTGGCTTCACAACAGTCTAAGCAGCTAGGAAAACACTCAACCACAAGGTCTTGATTTGCCTTAGATCCAGCACACGCATTACGTAGTGTTCGGTAACACTCGGTGATACAACCAGTTATTTCAGACGGCACATCCTCATAATAATCTTTTGTCAGGTTTTCATTACATTTGCAAAGAACTTTTCCTATTGTCTCAATATGAGCCTTGACTACTTTCTCTCTGCAAAGAAAAGTTGGTTCAGAT